AGAGAGAGAGAGAGAGAGAGAGAGCTATATATATAGAGAGAGAGCTATATAGAGAGAGAGAGAGAGAGAGAGAGAGAGAGAGAGCGCTACAGAGAGAGAGAGAGAGAGAGAGAGAGAGAGAGAGAGAGAGAGAGAGAGAGAGAGAGAGAGAAAGAGAGGCAGAGCCAAATAGAGAGAGAGAGACGAGGAGTCAGACAGAGAGAGATGAGAAAGGGAGATTGAATTAGAGAGAGAACCCACCTTTTCTTTCCTCGATTTACAACTGTTGTTGGAAACCATGGCCCCGGCGACTTGGTGGATGATCTCAAACCTCAATACGATGACGCGTATCGCGACGCGGAAAAAGGGAGGTGCCGACGAGTGAGAGGGCAAAAACGCGAATGGGGACGTGGGAGATTGCGACACGAAGGAGATGGCGAGGCGAGGGATATGGCGACGAGGGAGAGAGAGAGAAGCGAGCCAAACGAAGGGGGAGACGGCGACGAGATGGCTGTGTCCCTCGGMGAGGAGATGGCTGTGTCGCTGGCAAGGGCGGGTGGTCCGGGCGCGCGACGGGCATTTTCGGCCGTGAGGGTTGGCGACACCTGCGATTGCCTGCTGCTTCTGACGATTGCAATGCCCACCTGCAAATTCACGGAATGGCGCCACCGTCATTCGAATGGCGGATACATCCGCGTGGGGCCCAAAAAACAAAAGTGGGCGGGAAAAGTCACGCCGGATGACGCGTTGGAACCGTCGATATCACGGTAAAATCTGCGCGGGCCCCGATAATCAAAAGTGGGCGGGAAAATTTTCGCCAGATGATGCGTTGGGACCGTCGATAGCACGATGAAAAAACGCCAGTCCTCTCGCAATCACGGCCCGCCCTCCTGCGATGGTTTCCGACCGTGCGATTTCGTGAGGAGGGTCCGTCAAAAAAGGGACCGCCAGATGTCACAGCCCCCGATGCGGCAGTACTTGCGGCGGGCAGCTCAAGGGCCCCTCAAGCCCCGCTCACTGCACTCTCCGTTCTCCTGTCGGGCACCAAACGAATGGGGGTGGCTGTCACACCCGTTCGCTGGTGTCATTTCTTCCGTGTGCTGCCTTTGCGACGCGTCCACCATCCGCTCGAAGTCGCCTACATCATATCGCAGGCCCCTTGTGCATCCAGGCCCTCGTTCTTCCATCAATCGTCGATAGCCGGGGGCGCTAACGAAAACGTCACGTGACTGTAGACCTTGCGCGTCGTCCCGTTCGCGCTGTGCTTTCTTGTGTTGGCTGGAGGCGTTTGTCGATTGGCAGGTCTGTAAGAAGCCCACGCCCCGTGCTCGACCCCTTCACCATTTCAAGCCCCCACCTCTTCCCATTGCCCTTCCGCTCCTTCGACCATGCAAGTCTTGTTCTCTGCCACCACCTGCTCTGCCAATCACGCGCGCACGATCTTGAGCGCACGACGCCCACCGATCACAACGACGGAAGACCCCATGTAGTGACACACGCTGACGTCATCATCTTGCACATGACGTCAGCGGCGGGCAATGGCTTGTGGTTTTCACAGTCATCAGCCTCGAGTCTTGGCGTCCTCAACATCGCTTGTTTGCGTCCTCAAAATCGCTTGTTGGCGTCCTCACCATCGCTTGTTGGCATCCTCAACATCGCCCTCTAGTCTTGGCGCCCTCCGTCGACCGCATCTGACGCATGGAAAAAGTCGCATCGCCCTCGAGTCTTGGCGTCCTCGACATCGCTTGTTGGTACACTTTCTTGGACCTTGGCTCGCGGGTCGTCCTTCCCCAGTCTACTTAGGTTATCGCAATGCAGTCGGTCGTGCGAGTATTCTTCTACATCACCGCCAGCTCCGTCTATCACGCACGAGTCGACATGCGCAAGATCTTGAGTCCACGGTGTCCGCAGGTCACAACCACGAAAGTTCTCTTCCACTGACACACGCTGACGTCACTATCTTGCGCATGCCGTCTGGAATTCGAAATGGCCTGCGGCTTTCGTAGGCAAGATCGTCGGACGCCTCCAACTACCGCATCTGACGCGTGGACGAAGTTTCATCGCTGTTGCTCCCTGGCGTCATCACCGCTGCGATAACACATCACCCGATAGAAGTCAACACCGGAGACGTCATCTGAAAAATGCATGTTGATCGACTTTAAGATCCCGTCCATCCATCTCCGGTGTTGACGTCTATCGGACGATCTGTTATCGCAGCGTTGATAGCTGGAAGCCTCACGACAAACGCGCACCTCCAACAGGAATCGCCCGTGTCGCACTCACAGCCAACAGTGGCGAAGCCACCCATCCACAACGTTCAGCGACGACCCATTGTGCTGAATGGATACCCATGGCGAATCCGAAACATCCCAGATTATTGCCGATCCCGCGACATCCAACCCCCAAGGGCCAACTTCGAGCTCGTTTCCGATCGACTCCGTGATTGAACATGTCTATCGCGGTTGTGGACGACATCATGATTTTTTTCTTGTTGTCTTAAACGTTCCCTGTCTCATCGCCCGTTCTCGCACACGCAGCTACCAATGAGGAACCGCCACGCAACTGGGCGCGAGACGCCGGACACGCATCGGCAACATTTTGGATATGGAACTAGCGCTCACAAGTTCCATCGCGCCCACAGGAAAACTTCACAGCACCGCCGCCCATGCGGCAGCCCGTCCCCTCGTCACGATTCATTTCTGGTGAACTCTGACGTGGACAATCCTCACGACGATTGCAGTCTCGAAATCTGAGTTGAATGAGCGCACAATGACCTCGTGGAACGATCAGCTCTCGATCCAGGCCGATCACATTTCGAGTCCAGTTAATCGCAGCCTTGTTTTCCGGAGCAGCTTAGGGAGGCGTTCTCGGGATTGCAGCGGGAGTGAGAGAGTGCTGTTCGTGCCACTTGTTTTAGATGGAGTTTGGATTCATCCGATCTCGGGATGAAGGCAATAGTAGATGTCATTTGCGATGCCAGTGGTTGGATGACTATGCCCCCCATACATGCGACCCATTGTTTTCACGCAACGTTCCCCCATCGAGAGTTTTGAGGCGACCCCCTGTCCATGACAACCTGCCACTCATGACTTCCGTCGGTGTTTTTTGTCTCCCACGAGGGGTCATGCAATTCTCAGCTGGACGTTTTTTGTTTCGCCTCACTACGGAACGTGTGATGTAGTTCGGATGAATCCAAACCACAACCCTCGGCTCGTGGGATATCTCAACGGGAACCGCATCCCTCCGATGTCTCAGTGGAAGGGACAACAACGACACAGGGGATCGCTTTCGAAGTAAACATCTCCAGAAATCATGACACCGATAGCTCCCCATCTGCTTTTGCCTTCGTTTGTACCTCGGATGAATCCGAACCACAACCAGAGACGACTGACGGACGACAGTCGTGGCTTTTGTCAGTGTTTATTTATTCCGCATTGGGTTGTGCAATACTCACACAAGACCTATAAGTTCCGCGTCACTCCTAAACGTGTGATATAGCTCGGATCAATCCGAACCACATCCCTCATCGCATCGTGAGTCCCGAGGTGAGTATCACGCCCAGTGAGGGAAGGTCTCATCGGGAAAGGAAAACGGCGGCACACGCCACGCATCCTGAATGCAACATACAATAACTGATGGTGGGCACTCATGTGCATTAATCCGAGCCACGGATGGTCACACGATAACCCATTTAATATGATTTTGCCTTCTTTTGTAGCTCGGATCAATCCGAACCACGTCCCTCATCGCATCGGGAGTACCGAGGTGAGTATCACGCCCAGTGACGGAAGGTCTCATCGGGAAAGGAAAACGGCGGCACACACCACGCATCCTGAATGCAATATACAATAACCGATGGTGGGCACTCATGTGCATTAATCCGAGCCACGGACGGTCGCACGACAACCTATTTAATGTCTATCTTTCCCGGGCGGTTGCTCGGATTGATCCGAACCACGGATTGGTAGGCTTGGATGAGCTTCTGTCTAGGACTTTTGTTGGCGGGTGGCTCGGATTGATCCGAACCTCGGATCCAGGGCGGTACGGTAAGCTTGGACGAGCTTCTGTCTTGCACTTTTGTTCAACTCGTATTCAGAATGACCGTGGTAGGTAGAGTGTGTGCTTTCATGGCTCTGCGAAAAGTACTTGTCATGTCGACTGTGCGAAAACGTCTTCTGTAGATGACGCGGTGTAATGTGGTTGTCCGGCGTCGGTGTGCTGTTCCGTTCGACGAGGGTCGTTCGACTGTTCTGTCCGTCTCAATGTGCTTTACGGCGTGGGTTTTGATAATTTTAGGAAATCCCGCATCTGCTCTGGAACGGGTCCCTGCGTGACTTTTAGAAAACTCTCCATTGGCTTGGTGAACTTCTGATTGGTGACCTTCTGTAAGGGCTTTGCAATGCGACGTGGAAAGATCCTTTTTTTGGACGATTTCCGATTGACGGCCTTCTGTAAAGGCTTCGCCGACAAAAAAGTGTAGGTCCTTACAGCTGGGTGTGGGCCTCGTCGGGGAAATTATCATTCACCGACATTGTTTATGACGGTGTCCTCTTCCGTACATGTGTTCGTGTTGTGTAGGGAGTTTAATGTCGTCGAGTCCTTCGACAAGCACCGCCATGACACCCGAGAAGCACATGCGCTTAGCGAAACCCTTTCCACCTTGTGCGAGATCGTTGCGGCATCATGACGGTCAAACGTGGATCGACGATGCACCCGAGGACGACTTCGAGGATGACCTATGGACGACCGTCGTCCCTTCCATGAATCGGCATCTCGACGAATGGAACGAAAATGATTGGAAGGCGATGGAGCGTTCCTCCCCATGGGCAAGCCATTACAAGTTTGCCAACATGTTGGAGTTCGGGAGCCTCATGGCACTGCCTGCTGGTGTCCTCCATCGAAAGACCCTGGACGATAAGGGTAAACCGGTCCGCTTCCGTACCAGCYTYAGACGTCGCCTCCACTGCGAGTRTATCACATCTTCGCSACGAACTTGGGGAAGTTCGCRGAAGCAAGAGTTGGTGGACTGCGCTCGTCATTGTTCATTCTTGGAACACTACCCACCCTGTTGCGCAGGGACTTCTCCACAAGCTCTGTCGTACTGTTGTGTGCGGTTGACGGATGACAGATGTCCTTTCGCCAGAGTGCTATGTGTGGCTTCTTCAAGCAAAAGCGGGAAACTTGTAGATGCAGTTGTGCTTGTGTCATGCAACGAGATGGTGCTTCAGGGATCCAGGTTCAAGGCGGTCATGTCTTGCCCATATGTAGATGGACGGTCAGACTTGGTGAGAGCAGGTCAGGTAAGAGTTTTTCTGTCAATGTGGGATGATGTGGAAAAGAAAGTGTCTGAAATACGTGACTGTATAGGGAATTCCTTAGCACGACGAGGAGGGTTTGTCAGGATGAAATACATGTCCGTGTTTTCGGAAAAGGCAACAGTCGACAAGCCGCAGATCCATGTGTATGGATCATCTATGAATGCTATGTATGGCTTCCGTTCACGACCTCGTCCTCGGGAAACCCCGTATGTCACATATACGGACGTGTGGTCAGACCTTGTGTTTAATGGAAAAGGAGACTCCCTCATGACTACTAAAGTTGACACCGGCGTTGTTGCATTTGAACTTGCACTGCAGACTTGCGAAGGTGACGTTGTATAAGTGTTTCAGATTCATTTGAATCATCAATCAGATACATCCGGGTGCACCCAACGTTGAAGGCGATGCATGAAGGCTTCCCCAAGGACGATCCTTGGCCAAACAACAACCCGTCGGATTTTGTATGTGCGACTCGATAACTGCAGACCATCGAGTTTATGTTCTTGCACGCCTTCGAGGCAAACGACGCTTCCAAATAGTCTGCCGCCCTCTAGATCGTTTGGTACTGCCATGAAATGTGTTGCCCATGTCCGTGGCCCTCTGTGCAACAGCCGCTGCATGGCAGAAAATGACGTGAGCGGCGACGGCCGAGGCTGCAATCATGCATGCCCACCAGAACATCTTGTGTCTCGGATTCATCCGAAGTCGCCGGCTGCACAACCGTTTTCATTCTCATCCCCACAAAAGTCGTCTGTTTCCCTGGACACCCGCTGAAAGAAACTCCTCTTTGCGTCAATACGCTGCATATGGGCCGATGATAGGCAGCCGCGCAGAATGCATAGCACGTCCCGATTGCGAAATCGTCAGGTCTTTTTCTCGCGACGGCGAAGGCTCGTGATCACCCCCGGCGACGGCGACGATGGTTTTTGGATTGGATGCCATGAAATGTGGTGCCATGTCCGTAGCCCTCTGTGCAACAGCCGCTGCCAGGTCGAAACTGACTGAGCGACGGTGGCCAACGCTGCAATCGACCTTGTCCGGCATGTCATCTTGTGTCTCGGATCCATCCGAAGTTACGGGCCGCTCGAGCTTGTTCCTTCTCGTCACCGAATGTTCAGCACCTGCACAGAACACAAAAAAACTTCCCGATTGGAACATCGCGGGGTCATCGCGTTGTCGACTCCTACATGATGATTACCGTGAACAGCGGCGTGATGGCAGGTCCGCCTCTCTCATGTGGGTCTAACGTGGATTGCGTCAAATCTGCTCTCAAAGATCCAAACCGCAGCGGGGGGCCAGCAATCGACCACTGCTTGCTTGTAAAACATCATATAATGTGTCGATACAACCGACATTCAGAACTGGTCGGTGAGCATCTGGTGCTACGCCAAAAAGTTAGTCATGCGGCCGAAATATTCCCCCGCGATTGCTCAATTTGGGGTTCTCGCGTCATAGACTCCCTTATGATGACTACAGTAAACAGCGGCGGGGTAGCAGGTCCCCTTCTCCGATATGGATCTCACGGTGGAGTGCAAAACTCTGCTCTCAAAGATCCAGACCGGGAAAGGGGGTCAGCTATCAACCACTGCTTGCTTGTAAAACATCATATGATGTATCCACACAACCGACATTAAGAACTGGACGGTGAGCATCTAGTGCTACGCCTAAAAGTTCGTCATGCGGCCGCGATGTTCCCCCGCAATTGCTCATTTTCGGGTTCTCACGTCATAGACTCCCTTATGATGACTACAGTTAACAGCGGCAGGGTAGCAGGTCCCCTTCTCCGATATGGATCTCACGGTGGAGTGCAAAACTCTGCTCTCAAAGATCCAGACTGGGAAAGGGGGCCAACTATCAACCACTGCTTGCTTGTAAAACATCATATGATGTGTCGATACAACCGACATTCGGAACTGGTCGGTGAGCATCTGGTGCTACGCCAAAAAGTTCGTCGTGCGGCCGCGATATTCCTCCGCAGTTGCTCATTTTCGGGTTCCCGCGTCATAGACTCCCTTATGATGACTAAAGTTAACAGCGGCAGGGTAGCAGGTCCCCTTCTCCGATATGGATCTCACGGTGGAGTGCGAAACTCTGCTCATAAAGATCCAGACTGGGAAAGGGGGCCAGCTATCAACCACTGTTTGATCCTAAGGCATCATATGATCTGTCCATTACATCGACATTCGAAACTGTTTGGTGAGCGTCTGATGCTACGCCAACAATTTCCGAACAAGACCGCGAGGTTCCCTAAGAGTGCTTTTGCCACCCCACAACACAGACCGCCGACTGTTTGGCACTGCGGGTAGGTTGTCAATTTTTTACGACGCGGAAGACTCATGATCACTTCCGTCGTCTGTATGCGTGCTGATGGTGCTCGGCATTGCATACTTGACGCACTGGTGGTGTATGCTGCAATTGTCTAAATCTCACAGGATTTAAGTGTCTCGGATGCATCCGACATAAGAACCTATGACGATGCGGACTTGCCAACATTTATTTGCATCATTGTATCGGATTCATCTGAGTCTAAAATCAGTTCATATTTGCGCACCCACAATTAATACAGCATGTCAGATCGGTGACGGGCAAGGCTTGTAGTCCGGTTGAAGGCTGGTTGTGCACATCTAATGTCAAGTCCGATATTTGTCTGAGTCGTTGCGTCGGATTCATCCGACTCTAAAGTATGTTACATACTTGCGGGCCTGCTATTTCTACACCACAGATGTGAAATCGGTGAGGGTAAAGGCTTGTTGTCTGGTTCAAGGATGGCTATGCATTGTCTTTTTGTTTCGTTGCGCTACCCTCTATAGTGCTCACCAACTGGTGGACCCATCTCTGTCGATTTATCATTGCCAAAGTCCAACAACTGTCTTGGCTGCGATCTGGGTCAACGTCTGTTGCTCTGCTTGCAGGGAAAAGTGGAATGCTTCACTGGTGTGATACGACGACGGTCGATCAAGACTTCCCTCCCACGCCAGCTTGCCCTCCGTTACGTTTTCGGCAGGAATTGGCTGGGAAGGGATTGGTTATGGGCATTGGAGTTCTGAGCAGTGTCGATAGTACTTCTTCCCGACTCGAGCCATGTGCTTCCTCCGAAAAACGGTCACGTGACTCAAACACTCGGCATCGACGGAAGAGAACACAGTTGTCCACCTCCACCGCGCATTCGTACATCTGTCATGACGTGCTCAAAGACCACAAAAACACTAGAAGTGGGGATCAGTTTCTTAGCGTCGATTGTACATCCAGAGTCTCTTCAGCATGTTCTGAAATGACCGATGCTGGGATGTCGAGCTCCGTACCCGAGGGGAATCTCGGTGACTGTAGTTATAGTGGGACGGAGTACGTGTATAGTGCGAACAATTGCACTACTGCTGGTTCTTCCTTGGGAGTTGCCGATGGGGGTGATAGGGTTTCCTCGTCTACCCCTCCGCAGTGCCAGGAGAGTCAAGGACCGTTCACAAATGAAATCACTGAATACTGCTATTCACGAGACAGTCAGAGCTCGCGCTGCCTCTCCGAAGAGGACCGCCACATACGGTACATTTTGTCGGCGCCTATGCCCGGTGAAAGAAGACCCTTTTCTATGGCAAACAGAGAACCGGCCAAAAAGATATAGCATCGGCGAGCTATGGCCAAACTCAGGATGCAGTAACTTCATGCAATGCGAGGGATGCTCTGTTGTAGGCGGATGTGTTGTGCTCAACTGACAACCGAAGATGTCAGGCCGGTGCGGGAGGCATTCTACTCAAAAAGTTTCGCGGAAAGGACGAAGTGGTGGTTGCAAACCATACATGACTTTACGGTTATGGAAGGTGGTGCTGAGCGGGTCAGGCTTGTAGCTTGCAAACGGAAGATGTGCGTGCAGGCGTACTGTAACATTCTCAACATTTCTCGTAACACATTCTATGTCTACAAAAGGATGTACGATAACGGTGTTGTCGTTAGGGAGCATGGGCACTCGGGTTTGTCGAAACCATCCGAAAAAGTCGTGACGATGCTTGTATTGTTGAAACGATTCATCGACGACCACGCTGATAATATGTCGAATGACATGGTCTGGAAAAATGAAGTTTGTCGTCCTTGCCGTAGGATTCCTGCGGCATTCACAAAACGAGCGATTTACGAATCATTGCACTCTGATCTTTTGATGTGCCACTCGGAAGTTGTGTCGGAGTCGATTTTCTACGCTATGTTAAGTAAGCACTTCTGGCACGTGAGTCTAGCTATGTCCAACACATTCACGAAGTGCGCAAAATGTATATTCTACAAGGAGTGCATTGCCAAGTCGAAGTACGAGAGGGACCGTAAGAAATTCAAAGATAGGATGCGGAAACATCAAGAGTTGCAAGTCAACCACAGGCTAGACTATAGCCGCTGCAAAATGGATTCCATCTTGCGGCAGTCCGAGTGCCTGTGCATCATTATTGACGGCATGGATCAAAAGAAAACTACCATACCGCATATAGGACAGGCTAACTACTCGAAGGACTTCCACCATGAGAGGATGATGAAGACTGGTCTCACGGCCGTTCTGGTCCATGGCCGGGATCCGTCTATATATGTTTACACATATTTTCCTTACTACACACACGGTCCCAGCAGTACGACGATGTGTTTAATGTGGACTCTTACAGAGATCCAATCCAGTGGCAAACCTCTACCGTCGTTTCTTCGTATTCAAGTTGACAACTGCTTCAAAGAAAACAAGAATAGATTCATTTGCGCATTGGCAGCACTTCTTGTGAAGTTCGGGATTTTCAAGGAAATAGAAATTGGTTTTATAACAGTTGGACACACGCACACAGACGTCGATGCCACGTTTAGTGTTTTCTCCAAGAAACTCAAGGACAATGATGCCTACACAATGGATGAGTTGTTCCTTTTGCTAGAGCGGTCTCATAAGACTCCTCCGCGGTCTATTTTTTTTTATAGGATAGCAGACTGGAGAGGTCTTATTTACTCGCATGTTTCAAAGCGCATGACAGGGATTTCGAAGCCACATTTGCTAAAATTCTACATGATAGGTGATAATCCCGCCATGCCTTATAAAGAGTATTGCACAGGCGCTAAGTGGTTGCCCGAGGATGGTCCTCTTTACTGGTTCAAACAAACAGACAACGGTGGTTACGCTGGTCCGCATCAACCTTTTGATCCTCTGTCGGTCCAACCGGCGTTCCTCGACGATTACAATAACGGTTTGGAGGGTGTGAAGAGGTTTTTGGAAGTCTATGTAAAAAAAAAAGAAACTTGGATGACTTTCCGATACGAAGAGGTGACTAGAATAGATAGGGTTTTTCGGTTTTGGGAAGATCACGTCAAACACGCGGGGGACATTATCGGCAACGGGGTGCCTTCGGCACCCATCACCGCATTCTGGCCAAAGGCCACCCATGTCATTGAAGACAGGAGTTCTTGCTCTGATTCGGATGCATCCGAATTACAGAGAGAACCTCTATTCGTGGGTTTTCAGAGGGACAAGCCTAAGGCCAACTTTGATCCTTTCGAAGATGTGCATGTCGACAGTTTTGTCATTATGCAACCGTCAGACGAGGACATGCATCAAGGAGTGCCTTTTTGGGTTGGCCAGGTTCACAGTGAAGTTGACAAGAACGAAGATTCACCAACTTACAACCAATTCAAAGTGGAGTACTGGTTTCCAATCGGAAAAGCGAGCACACTAAGAGAATTGTATGTCGACGCCTCGGAAAAAAAATAGAAAAAAGTTCCTGGGCACGAGGAAGAGTATCAACATGTCACAACCGTTGCATTTTCTTGGATGAGACAAACGAGGACGAATGTCTGCGAGTCCTCCAAAAAGTTTACCACCGGTTTTGTGATTCCTCTGAAAGTAAGAAAAAATGCAATTCTCGCCCTAGAAAACGGCGTTGGCGCTCAAACACAAAGCGTTTCCTGAGAAGGGAGCGGGCAGGAGGCTACCTTATCGAGAGTCTGATGGTTGTCATCTTTTCGTGAGGAAAACGTATTGCCGTGCTGGCCTGTGCACACCACTCTTGACTCCATGGAATACATCGCTTAATGATTTGTGCTCTCTGGGTTACGCACTTCAAATCAACAATAGTTTTTCATCAGTTTTCGACATTGAGCGTGGGGGCATTTTGGTCGTCGTAGCATGACCTCGGGCTTTCGGTCCTGACCTTGATGTGACGCTTTTATTGTGACTTTTGTCTTTTGCAGTGTGCAGACTTTCCTCTTCTGACGTACTTCGAAAACATGGATGAGATTTTGGGCTACATTGAAATAAAAATACCTGAACGACTGGCGATCATCACAAAGGGAGGAGCGTTTCCTTTTTAATATGAGAGAATCTTCGGGATCGGAGTGGGAGGACGGACAATGTTTGTCATCATGGTGAGGTTTACTGATCTCAACATTTTCGACATGCGAATATATGAGCGTCGGGGTGAAAATTATATGCAAGGAGATTTTACAAGAGTTTATGTAAAAGCTTCAGAAGTTCTTTTCGCCTTGAGACGTGCTGTGCTCGGAGCAAGGGGTGACATTGAGGGTTTCTCGTTTTCCATTACGGAGTTTGAAGGTTTGCTTCAACCTCCAATCCTGCCTTGCATGGTGGACGGTTCGACTTGGGAACCGATAGTGAAGACTCTGCGAAGAGGCTTCTTCTGAGGACTTCAACTTTTTAAGACGTTTGGTGACCAGTCTTACGTTTCTGGAATTTTGTGTCATTATGTCGGATTTGTGAACATTTTCGTAGTATAATCATTTCTGATTATTTTTAATTTTCACCAGTTTGAGAGACGAGTCTCGACACTTCCCAAGTTTTGTGGTCGAATGCCAGATTAGTTGAAATTTGCACACTGTAAAGTATAAACGAAAGCCACGAGTGTCGACCCTGGCTCATGGTCGGTTGTGGTTCGGATGCATCCGACCCAGAGAATAAGGATACTGTTACGACAATCAAACACAAGAGCGTCAAGGGGGAAACTGGATGCTGGGGGATTTTATAGCACGTTATCTGCAAGCTGCATATGTTCTTGTGTCCTTGAGACGTGCTGTTGTCATGGCTGGGGGAGACGTTCAAGGTTTCTCGATTTCCATTACGGGTTTCGAAGGTCTGCCTCAACCTCCTACCTCGGCTTGCATTGTGCACGGTTCAACATGGGAACCACTAGTGAACGCTTTTCGAAGAGACTTTTTTTGAAGATTTCAAGTTTGGGACACTTTGGTGACAAGTCTTACGTTTTTAGAGTTCCGTCAGGATGTCGGATTTGTGAATGTTTTCATAGTGTAGGCTTTTTTAGAGAGACATCTCGAAATTTTCAAATTTTTATGTTAGAATGTTCGATTAGTTGAAATTTCCACGGAAATTTTCTGGTTAATTGTGGACGGTACGACATACCCTTGCCAAATCTTTGGTTAATGGAAACTTTTGAGGTAACCGTTACGAATTCACAATATTGGGACCAGATAACTGTTATCAGTTTTTACGGCGTACTTCTCATTTGTCTCGACAATGGTTGTGTGCCTGCTTATGTAGGTTAGGTGTCCCGCTCTATTTTTAATTTGTCTTCGCTTTTCAATCTAGTTCTCATGAGTTGTCAATTGTCTTCAAAATCCAGTGAGATCTTTCAAAATAATTATAAGGTCCTTGGTCACTTCAACATCCGATAATCTGTACACAGTTTGATTCGGATGTATCCTACGCATTCGTTTGAGCCTTCTCCAATGCCCAATCCTCAGATGACAACGTCTTTACATAATATGTTCCCCACCACTTCACTCCGTACGATGCCCGTTTGTTTTGAGAAATGTTTGGTAAAGTGATAATGGATATGCGACCGCCATCTAGTTGAAATTTAAGACTGATGGTTACTAAAGTTCTTAAGGGGTTCCCGAGGGTGCACTTTTATTTGTTAACATACATCATTTGATCTCGGCAAGGACAGTGGTGGAGTGGTGGGCAGGATTGGGTAGGGATGTTACAAGCTCATGGTTGCGAGGTCGAACCCGGCAAGCAGCAAATGATAACATCTCTGCATAATGCTGCCCACCACTTCACTCCGTCCGATGCCCTTTTGTTTTAAGAAATGTCTGCTAAGCTATAATTGTTCTTGGAATGATAACATAATCGTTAATTTTCCCTCGGAAGGTGATCCGAGCTATGATCATAAGTTCATCCTTTTGATTGAGGGAACTTCAAGGATATTTAATGAATGACGCACGGTTTATAACATAACGGATTTTCTCCATCCGAATAATGAAATATTTTATTCGGATATATCCCAGTTTTACTATAAAACTAGCCAACTTGTGTATTATAGATTATATCGAAACATGTGACTCGGATGTATCCTACTCATCCTGCTTGTATTCAATTAAACTTCAAAAATGAGCTATTCTTTTCACTCCCATGCATCCTTTAAAGCCTCAACGAAGACCTTTTTCGGGTCACTCATATGCGTCTCTCACAAGGGGAAACCTTCGATATGCTACGTTCGTACTGACTGTCTGAATGTGTGCCAGTTTAGTTGAGGATTTATCCGTTGAACAGAGACTCTGATCGTTGTGTATTAATGTATAATGAGCATCTTCTTTCGTCAGTCCTGTATACCTTTCGAGTTTCTCGAACGACAAAAGTACTATTTAGAAAATAATGTACTATTTTAATGAATAACGTGTTAAAAACAGGTGTTCGATGTTGGATTGGGTGGGTGGAATCGGGGAACCCTCGGGTGGGCTGGTTTTGTATGTGGTGATCAAAGATAACATTGTTCCAATTGGCGGTGTGGTGAGGTGGAGTGGAGAAAATTCACAGTTCGCCATGTTGGAGTTGACGACGGTCCTTAACGCTAGAGGTGAGCGGATGACGAATGTTAAACACGTTGCTCTTCATTGGGCCAAACACGCTGGGAACGGCAAGAAGCTTTATGACATTTTGAATCCTCCCGGGACGAAGAAATTGACTTTGCCGGACCTTCGAGCGGTTTTCACATTCTTTGACAAAAATGTGGTCGCAGGGCATGAGCCGGTGGTGCATGCTTCCAACCGCATATCTGAACCGAAAAGCGTGCTTTCGTCGTCTTTGGAGGCGGCTCCGTCGTCCAAACCAATCATTATAGGTACCCGCCCACCGCCATCGCTTCGGACTACGGTTGCTGCGGAGGCGGCTCGGTCATTGAAACCAATCATTATAGGTGTCTGCCCAACGCCATCGCTTCGAACTACGGTTGCTGCAAAACGAGTTCCGAAATCTGGGCAGATCGGGGAGAAAGGTCTGTGTCGCGGGCAAATCGTGTCGTCAGCCCCTGTGAAGCGTAGACCAACATCAACCAAGGAACCCGTTTCCTTGGTCCGCCCGCCACGCTATGAGTTGGTCATTCCTGCTGGGTTGCATTTTTTTGGAGATGACGACGAGGAGAACAACGAGGAAGATTGGGAGCGCGATGAAGAACGCGAAGAATATGAGGAGGGTGGCGGAGAAGAGGAAGTAGAGAGTCAGCACACAATCAGCGAGAGGGGTGGGCCGGGCGAATTGGAGGGTTGTCTAGGGGTTGAGTATGAGGACGAAGGGCAAGAAGAGGAAACGACCGGCGAGGGAGGGTATGCAGATGTGCATTGGGGTTCCAAACGAACGCAGCTGCTCGCGTCGGGTCATGGGCATTGGGAAGCGGATCTAGGGCGAGGGGAAATGCACCTCGCAGTTGGGGTCGAGCCGGTGCATGCCGATGCAGTCCGACTAGCTGAGAAGAAAAGGAAGAACAAGCAAGAGAGGAGAAGTGCTTTGGACTGTAAGAAAACCAAGCAGGAGGGGGGAGCCAAGCAAGAAGAGGGCAAACACAAGTTGAAAATGCTGGCAGTTGAGAAGGCCTTCCAACGTACGCGGAAGGCTGAGGAGGCCATGAAGAAAAAACGACAGTCAAGGAAAAAAACAGTGAAGAGAGGTATGACGGAAAAAACTTCCGTTTTTCCACCGGACCTGCCACAGTCGGATGAAGACGCTAAGGGCAAGACATTCACTAGACCGCCCGGTTTGCAAATTCTGCCGCCTGGGAATTCTTCTGGTCATCTGAGCAAAGGCTTCTTCCTTGAGTTCGACGAGAATGGTAAACAGAGGCCGGAAATGCAGTTCATTTGTGTCAAGTTGGACATGATTCTGGATATCCCTGATGAGGAATTCACATATAATCAGTGTTTCCTCGATCAGGAGCTTATTGATGACCTTTACAAAACAATGGTTGAGTTGGGTGAGGCAGCTATCAGAGAGAGAACGACCGGGGCAGCCGGGGTGAATGTATATGCATTGTACGAGAAGCCTGTCCTTTTGTTGATTGGGCTACATGATACAATGCATACTGACGCTTCCGGTACGAATGTGAGGGCGAGAAGAGTAACGCCCGGCGAATTCGATCTCCAATCCGTGCGCAATCCTATTGGTACCCTCTCAGTGGTCAACACAATGTTGCGGCGGCGAGGAAATGTTCTCAAGAACGCCCTGACATCGCTCGTGAGCTCCGTTTGGATTGCAAGACTGCAAGGCCTGTTTACTATCCGGATAGGAGCATGGAGAATTACTGCACCTTGAGCACTTTCCAAAATGCGAAGGACAAATGAAATACTCCTCCGCACCAGATTGCTATCGTTAAGAACATACGAAAGTTGTGGTAAGCAGCCGGTCGTCCAGAAGCTATAGGCGGATCTGCTGCAGACGTCAAAAATAAGGATTACAGAGAGTTTGCGGCGATGGCTCCGCGCGCGACCGAGAGTGATCATTTGGTTACTCTTTCACTTCAGGCTTGGAGCAAGGAGTGGTCCGACTTCCTCGGGCCTTACATGGTATTGGCAAGGGCAACTGACGATGTGTTCAAGAAGGTGCAACAAGTGTATTCTACTTAGGAGAGTGGATAGTTGCCGGGGAGAGATGATGTGAAGCCTGCCACCAAACAAGGTGAATCGGGGAAAGCGCCGAGACCTGGCCTCGGATTTGAGTTAGAAAAAGAAGTCAGGGTTCCAGTGCACTGGATTCAGGGTACTAGAGGACCTGGTTACCTCGTGGTTGTGCGCGATCCGGATGTCAGATCATGGAAGGCTATGTCTACGTTGGGGAGGCGTGATAAGCTTCAGCTGTTGCGAGACATTGTCGCGGGAAGTGTCATATTGGTTCCAAGGCTAAGTAAAGTTGCTCACACTGCCGGGAAACATTCGATGGAGACATACGTAGAAATGGTGAAGCAGGAAAGAGCAATGTTGAGAATGTTTCACTACTTCGTCTTCATTTCTGACCCTCACAAGAAGCCGTCAGAGTGGAAGGAACCATTCTTCGACAACCTTTCTGATTTGTTCGCTAAGTATTGTGATCAAGGATTGACATCGGAGAGGTGGATCGACCAGCAACGGCATTTCAAAGAAACGAGTTGGGTGCGGTCATTTCCGGCTACACTTGGAGGCGAGGATGAGAAAGGAGAGGAGGGCTTTAAAAAAAACAAAATCGCTTGCAAACAAATGCCCTGAAGAGTTCATTTAATTTGTCAACAAGTTGTTGCGTAAAATTGAAACTGGGGGTTCGCATAGCATTCGTATGTCGGGACAAGCCAGATATATATATCTCCAGAAACAGGACGTGACATCAGTATTCGTGTCGTTCCAGTGGGAACCGAGCGGTGTTTCAGACGAGATGGATTGCAAGAAGATGTTTAGAGCCGTTAGACACCTGTCGTGCAACACAGCCGTCCTGGATTTGTGCCGCCCGACCCAGATGGGTGCGTGGACTTAACAAGTGTTTGATGGACTCAAGAAGTTCATGGACAAACTTTGTGGTGAGTATTGGACATTGTTGTGCTTCGTTCCATGCCCTTGCGAGTTCACATTCTTGAGGCGAGTCGCGATGTAGGACATTGGATCTTCTCAAATTGACTCGTCTACAACAAACAAAGGGGAAAGTGTATAAGGTTGCAAACTTGCCTTTGGAGGACATAGACAGAATGGTGGTCATCATGTACTCCAACGACGGGGATTTTCATCGCAACACTATTCCCTTGTTTGAAGATATTCAAGTTGCAGATCTATCATCTGCCGAGCGGGTGGCTGACATATCGGCACTTATGCGGAGAGAGAGAAAGCCGAAGATGTTGACTGATGTCGTGGAGAAGAACTTTCTACCATCAAAGTGGAAAATGGCAGGTATGGATCCACCGGAGAAAGTGGTCTATGATGGTATGGAAAGGGAGCCGAATGTGATGGTGAAGACATTGGAGCATTTTTGTCCTGCGGATGAGGCTGTTGTTTTTCTCGGAAAAGGTCATGCGGAATTGGTTTGGGAGTTGTTAAAGAGTCAATGTCATTGCATTGTGTTGGAAGGGGAGAGTATGAAGTTCGAGTTCCTCGCTCAGTTCAATGACAAGATGGTTAAAACTCGAGATTACTACGCCAACTTTATTAAGCCGCCTCCTCGACATGATGAAGGGCGTGATCACATCTACAAGGTTGGCCAAAACGTTGTCAATATTTGAGAGTTTCTCTTCGAAACAAAGCCACAAAACAGAGGAGAACGTACTTATGTCCTCAGAAGAAGAAAAGTGGAGAAGCTCTTGAGGGGTTATCATAAAGCATCATCGGAGAGGGAGGTTTCATTTCTCGACCGCTTGGAGACAATGTACTTCGACCAACAAATTGGGGCATTTACAATCGCAGGTTATGCGACTTGTTTTGTGGATGCTGAGGACTTTGATGCCGACGACTCAGAAGAAGAGAGTGTTGATGACACTTTGCAAGCGGCTTTGGCAGCTGAGAGACAAAGAGTTTGTAGCCCGGCTTCGCATTCGCAAGGAATGGGTGTTCTAGGCACATCGCCGGTTCTGGAGGAGCTTCGAGCATGGCGGTTTCAACGGATCAGTTAATGACTCAGCCGCCGACTTCTTCTATTGTTACACCGACTCAGATGGCGGGCAATAGGATGACGGTGGCATCAGGAGGCAGTCCGGATACGAATCTTTTAGCAATGCTCTCCCCAGAGTTGGTGGCAACTCTGGCACCATTTGCACATAGCCCAAGTACTATTATGGAATTGTTACGCTCTCGAACTCCACCACAACCTCCACCTGATGAGCCTTTCGAGTACGAGATTGGAGACACAATCCCTGTTGACATTCGACTGCTTCCGGGGCCTATAGTGTGCCGAGACGATTATACGGTGACGAACGATGCCACATGGGGTCATCACATTATATGGCACCCCCAACATTTCTAACCTGCATTGGCGAGAGGGATGTGGGTTATGGCTATAAAAGAAGAAGGGGAGTGACAGTTTTACCTTCACAGACGTATGTCAGGATCGAACTTTCTGAAACATGCCAAAAATCAGATTGCCAAGCGACTCCTTCGACTTAATCCGGAGGTTTCTCAATCAAGGCTAGATGTAAGAACAGAAGAAATTTTCCAGGAGTTCAAAACATCACAGTGGCTTGAGTATCTGGAAGAGTTTTATGATAAGCAAACCAACCCAACTTATGGATATTATTGGCATGTCAGAGAAGATCTTGGGGAGAGGAAAAAATCAAGCGGCGGTGGTGACCATGGCAAGGGATCCGGATCGAGCGGAGGTGCGCATGGCAAAGGATTGCGATCAGGGAGCGGTGCAAGTGACAAGGGTCCAGAACCAAATGAAGGTGCAAGTGGCAAGGACGCAAGTCGTAGGGAACGGCAACAAACCGAAAAGTCTAAGGGGCATCAAGCAACAGAAGGCAAGGGATCAGCACAAAGCGGCGGTGGGCATGGCAAACCTACAGGACCAAGCGGCGGTGGTTCCACTGTCGAAGGGTCTCAGGGGCCTTAAGAAACAGAGCGCAAGGGATCAGGATCGAGTGGTGGTTCAACTGTCGAAGGGTCCCACGGTCGCGTCGAACACGACAGTGGCCTAGCATTGGAGCGTTCCCGGCTTGACCAAGCGAAGAAACTCACGGTCGAGTCGAACCCGAAAATGGGATCGGAAACGATCGCCGGTGCGACTGGCAAGGCTTCGGGACCACGGGGGGGCAGTACAACTATTGGCGGTGCTTTTGTCAGAGAGTCACACGGTCGTGTCGAACACGATACTCGTCCAGCATTTGAGCGCTCGCGGCTTGACCAAGCCAAGAAACTCACTGTCGAGTCGAACCCGACAGTGGGATCGGGATCAATCGCCGGTACAAGTGGCAAGACTTCGGGACCAATCGACGTTGTTTCACCTATCGAAGGGTTACACGGTCGAGTCGAACACGATAGGGGTCCACTATTTGAGCGCTCCCAGCTTGACCGAGCGGAGAAACTCGTGGTTGAGTCCAACCTGACACAGCAATGGGGATCGATTGTCGATGCGAGTGCCAAAACTTCGGGACAAAAAGACGGTGTGAGTTGCGAGGCGTGAGTACAGCTGACCAAGTTAGGGCGACTACGATACTAGTGGGTGACAGTGTCGCTATGGAAGTGGATATTACTGGTACACTCACGGAATTGCAGATGCCGTCTTCGACGATGCCAGCCGAAGTAAGCGGCACTTTCCAGGACACTTTTGAGGGCATAAAGGAGGAAGAAATTCTCCATGTACAGGGCATCGAAGAGGATGAAGGAAATATAGTACTAAGTACACCGGAGCAAGTTGTACTTGTACAACCTCAACAAACGCTTGAACAACCTCAAACACCAGAGTCTGCTAATCTCATGATAGCTATCGAGGAATGTCCTATTGGGCCATTGCATATGGAAGGTGTGACAGAAGGTCGTGTTGATGAAAAACTGAGAGTTAGCTATCGAGGTGAGCACTTTCTTCTCTTATGAGCAATATCTAATACTATATGCGGATTAGTGGGTACATCACATGCACTCATCTCCCATTGTGTCGATCCCTCATATGTATTGTTTATTTACTTAGCTTTGGAACTGTGCGTTTTCTGAAGAGAAATACTGCAATTGTTTTGTATGAAGACTTAGTGCAATTGCCATATATTTTGTATTGGTATTCATGAGTCAGTTTCAACAACGGAAAGTCATACTTGTAACTCATTATGTTTTATTTTGTCAATCATGCAGGGCGACGAAAAGAACTGTGGAAAACGACACACGTACACTCGCAAAGGAAGAGAGAGAAGAATATCATTCGTCTTTGCTTGCAAGCTTTGTCAACTTCGCCGTTATTGCCAAAAAATGAGAGAAGAAGTCGTACACCATGACATGTCCATCTGTGAAGCTAGCTGCCTTAAGGATGTTTAAAGCTGTTGGAATAAGCCTCAAAGAAGGGAAGAAATTGCATCGCGCAGGTTGCAGTTAATCTGTTATGAATAGCAGCACTGATGACGAAACAGATAGACAATCAACAACATGAGCTCATATCTATGCAGTCTATCACTTGTTTTTGTGTGAAGTCTTAGTCGCTCTATTGTTGTTTATATGTGTGTTTGTATGCAGTGCATGACCCTTTGTTCCAGATTCCTTTAGCAACAGTACGCCTTACTGTAGAAGAAAAGGAGTATCTTGAAATGATTACCGGCAGCACTGAAGAGAATGAAGAATACGGCATTGTCGATTACAAGGGGAGGTGGAAGGTGGAAAAGAAAGACGTCATGCTCGCCTCCAAAGATKGGGAATGGTTAAATGAT